AATGGCCCACTTAGGCGCATACATTTGATACTTAGTCTACCAGAAAGTGGAACTCTTTGAAAAGATTATAAGGATTAGGGTGATGTGGCCTTGGTGGAAGAAGTGTGTCACTGGTTGTAGGCTTTGACTTTTCAAAAGCCCATGCCAGGCCTTGGTTCTCTCTCTCTCTCTCTCTCTCTCTCTCTCTCTCTCTCTCTCGCTCTCTCTCTCTCTCTCTCTCGCTCTCTCTCTCTCTCTCTCTCGCTCTCTCTCTCTCTCTCTCTCGCTCTCTCTCTCTCTCTCTCTCGCTCTCTCTCTCTCTCTCTCTCGCTCTCTCTCTCTCTCTCTCTCGCTCTCTCTCTCTCTCTCTCTGTGTGTGTCTGTGTGTGTGTGTGTGTGTGTGTGTGTGTGTGTGTGTGTGCTTACAAGTCAGGATGTACCTCTCAGTTACTGCTCCAAGACCTGCCAGCTGGCTGCCAAGCTCCTCACCATGATGATAATGGACTAACTCCCAGAAACTGTAAGCAAGTTTCCAAATAAATGCTTTGTTTTTCTATGAGAGTTGCCTTGGTCATGGTCTCTTCACAGCGATAAAGCAGTGACTGAGACAGTAGGTTACATGGACTAAATGTATCCTTTTGATTTATGGTGTTTTCAACTCATCAAGAATTTATCAGGAGGTGGCCTCTTTGTAAGCTGAGGAACATGTGTGTGATCCAATGAAGGATACTATGCAGAGAAACCATTTCTCGGATGTGTTAGATTTAGTTAGCACGGATTTCCCTGTTCTTCATGGCAGAATGAAATTGGGGGGGGGAATGAAGGGGACATGGGAAAAGAATGATGCCTGTCTTCGGTGTTGGGATCTGAGGGACGGCAGCAACCCTACTCTGAGACAGGCTCCTTTTGCCTCTCCTCATCAGGTATCCACTGATGTAAAGTGGGGCCTTCTGAGTGACATTATAGCCACTGGTCTATAACTCTTACAGTCCCTTGGGGGCTGTTTATAACTCATTATAGTTGTAGAGGCAGGGTCATCTACATATTATGAGTGTGGTCCCAGAAAACCTCTGATGGAGGGCAAGAGGTCAGCACTTAGTGTCTCATCAAACAGGGTTGGAGAAGTTTTCAATCTTTGGGGCAACCTGGTCCAGGTTAGTTTCCCTCTGAAACCTCACTTGGGTCTGTCCATTTGACAGCAAACATTAGTTGACTCTCCACTGCCATTGGGAGGCTGAAGAATGCATCTTTCAGGTCCAAGACAGTGTAGACTTGATTCTCTGGAAGAGTCAGACTTAGGAGTGTATTGGTTTGGGACCACAGGGTGGGTAATCTTTTCAGATTTTGGACAAGTCTATAATCAGAGATCCCAGGTTTCTTCACAGACTTGAGAGGTGTATTCCATGCTTGTCTTTCTAAGCTGGGCCACATAGGCTGTAATTCCCCTTCTTGTTTCAAGGGTCACTGGATATTGCTTAATCTGGTCCAGGGTAGCTCAACTGGTTAGTTGAACTTTGTGTTAGTCCAATCCTGAGGGGTTGGTTTCTGCCCTCAGCCACAGGAAACTTTATTGTCAATCTGAAATATAGTCCTTTGACTGGGGGTAGGAGTTTCAGCTAGGACACATTCTTCTGACAGAGGGCAGACATCAACATTTTACTGGGTATCTGTAGTCTAACTGAATCTCATCAACAAAGAAGGTGATGGTGATTTTCAGTTTATGTAAAAGGTCTTGTCTCTCAAATCAGTTATCTTATTGTTAAATAACTTTTGAGCCATTTCCAGTAACTGGTATATATATATATATATATATATATATATATATATATCCCTGAAATATAGGGACAACAGGGTGAAAAGGGCAATCTTTTTAGCAGCTGTCATTAATTCTTCTAAAGAAGGCCTAGAGAAAATTGGTCAGTGTTGGACAACAGGGAAAATCCATTCTTTCCTGGCTACATCATCCATCAGCATCTCTCAGAACCTCAACCCTCACCCAGTACACTCCGGGAGTAGTTTCTCTATTCTTTTCAGAGAATGGTGGGTTTTGAATTTTCCAATTACACAGGTCACTTGATGAAAAGAAGACATAATCCAAGAAAAAAGAAGGGGGGATTTTGTACTGAGTACAGCTTCAATTACACCACAAACTTTTATTATGTTAACATTATTAAGCTATGTAGAAGTTGATTTCAATTTTTATTTATATTTAACCAAGATTAATTGCACCCACCACCTTACCAAAATGACTAAGCTTAATTTCATCAACATGATAGTGGACACATGTCTGCACTTGTTCCAACATGGTTTACAATCTACAATGTGTTCTTGTGTGCTCAAAATGCTTCACCTGAGCATGATTTCCCTTGGATAGAAGATACAATGACTAAGGGCTGGGAATATTGCTTGAAGATTGAATACATTCCTACCTCCCACAAGGCCCTGAGATGTTGGGCCAAAAAAGGCTTGGACATGAGGCCCAGTGTAACCTCCTGAGCCTGGCTAGAGTTTGGTGACATCTTTGGCCTGTGACCTCCACACGAGTGACTCAGCAAGGCCTGATGTAAGAATGCTCCCTGCCTAGCTAACTGCCAGCTTGATGGAGTACTATTGGTCCTTACACCTCATGCCACCTTACCCCATCCTAAGATTTCCATCCCCTACCTCAACCCTATGTAAGTTCCTGGTGTTGCAATACAAAGAGATCTTGCTTTGACAAATCTCCTGACTCAGTGTGTTTCTCCAGGGTAGCTGGGGGATGGGGGCGTCTGGGTCATTGACACTCAACATCCAGCTCAGTCCCAAGGGAGTGACTGGAGGGACTAGGTGCTCCCTCAGCTCTACCTGCCAGAGAGCCTGGCACTGGGTTAAATCAGCACTGAAAATTTAATAAAGGACAAAGCAAGGCCAAATTATATATATGGACAGTTTGAAGGCCAATGACAATTTTGTGAATGTCATAAAATTCTGGATCATTAAGTATTAATTATTGCTCCCTGGAATAGATGATATTCTATTTTGGCTGATGTAGTAAGGGATGACACGTCATGTCTACAACATATTTTCTTTTGATAAAGGGTCTCTATACAGTCAAAGCTGGACTTGAAGTTATTATGTAGCTAGGCTTATCTCTAACTCCCAATCCTCCTGTCTCAGCTTTCCAATTACTAGGATTCAGACATGCACTAGTATACCCAAGTATAAACCATTCTTAATGTTATACCCCAAATACCCATATGTACAGAAAAAAGCATCAACACAGAAAATTGATAACAATTTTCAATCTAGATGATGATCCAGAAGTGTTGTTGACTAGTCAAACTTTTCCATATGTATGAAAATTTTCAGACATTTTTTTTGGGGGGGGGGTTGAGACAGGATTTCTCTGTGCAGCCCTGGCTGTCCCAGAACTCACTCAGTAGATCAGGCTGGCCTCGAATTCATAGAAATCCACCTGCCTCTACCTCCCAAGTGCTGGGATTAAAGCTGTGTGCCACAACTGCCTGGTTCACAAATGTATTTTTATAAATGGTTTCACTTTGGCTATTTTTGTTAATAAGTTATGGGGACCCCACCAGGGAAGACCACTCAGACAGTTCATATCCAACTACAAGTATTTATTCCAGCCAGCTGAGACTACACTCAGGTACTCAGGACCTAAGTGTAGTCACGAGCATTTAAAGCAAATCCCACCTCCTCTAATCTTGCTCTGCAGCTGCAGGGGGAGCTTTTGCCCAAGTAGACAGTTTAACAGTAGCCAAGATAAGCAGTAGCTGGAGGGGAAGGTTTGCACACATGGGCTCTTTAAAGAAGCCGGGTAAATTAGCAAGGGCAATTTGATCTCAGGTTCCCTGAATAGACCTGGGTAATTTTCCATGAGATTTCCCCATCAAGGAAATCAAATTCTACCTAAACCTGAAATGCCCAAGTAAGAATAAGAGATGGATGATCCTGTGGACTTTCTTGCCCTGTTACAAATGTATTTTATCTTACTGTGTGGGAGAAGTGCATAAATTATAGAGTTTTACCTTTAGAAATTTTTATGGGTTCGACCCCTTTAGAAAGTACTTCTTCATCAATAGCTGTGTTTTTTAAAAACAACTCCACACAAATACTTAATGGATTTACAATTCAAATCCTTTCCTATTTCTTTCGTGCATTAGACGTATATAGAATGAGGTTGTTTAAAACTTTCTAGTAGATGAATACATGAGGGGTTTCTAAACTACGTAAAGAACAAACAGCCTGCGATGTCAGTTACAGTAATGCCATGGGAATAAAACGTAAAAGCTATTTTACACAACACAGACATTAACCAAATACGCTTGAAAAATCTTACCACCTAATATAACCATGTTCTCACAACTTTGGTACTGGGCTGGCCATCAACAAATTATACAGAAGGAAACTAAATATCCAGGATATTTATGTTAGTATGACGGGAGCCATAGAACGTTAATGGTGACAAGGAAGGAGCCTCAGATAAACCTAGTTCCAATAACTGTTCTCCCTAAGTTGACTGACCTGGGTGAACAGCGTTTGACAAGTTAAGTTTATAGAATGAGAAGAAAGTAAATGAAGAACACGATGGCCACCGCTGTCTGGCATATCAACAGTGTCACCTCTGAACAACAGACTTCCCACGTTCTTATTCTCCACGGGATTCTCATTATCAACAGTATATGAACACTCTGATGCTGACCAAATCCTAGGGCAGAATAAAGTTCTTCTCACATCCTTTTCCCTCACAGTCTTGTCAATATGAGTTCTCTGATGTTCAGGAAAATTTTCATACAAAGGCGTGTCCTTCTTCAGTAAAAGCACAGGACTCCTGAAAATGCTGGATTTTCTGATGCTGTGGAGGCTCACCATTTACAAAGAGGGCTTCCCCACATTCTTCACGTTCACAGGGGTGAGGAACTGTATGGACTCTCTGAGGAGATTTGAGAGCTGAGCTAATTTTATAAATGTTTGTGCATTATTTCAATTCATAGGGTTTCAAACCAACATGGATTCCTTTATGTTGAAGAAGGGCTCAAATGAAAGGTTTTTCCACATTCTTCACAGTGATAGGGGTTCATGCCAGTATGACTTCTCCACTGTGCAGTGAAGGCTGAAACTAAATCTAAACATTTCCCCACATTTCTTAGATTCATAGGGTTTCTCACCAGTATGAATTCTCGGATATACTGCTACAGTAGAATTATTGCTAAAGGCCTTTCTACATTGACTTCTTACCAATATGAAACTTACCATTTCAAACCAAGCAGGATTTTCAACTAAAGGCCTCCCCCCCGCCCCCCCCCCGCATTCCTAACACTGGTAAAGTTTCTCAACAGTATGAATTCTTTGGTGTAATTTAAGGTCTCTATCACAAGTAAAGTACTTCCCACATTGTGTACATTCGTAAGGATTCTTGCCAGTATGAATTCTAAAGTGTGCAAGAAATTGGTAATGATATTGAAAGGCTTCCCCACATTCCTTACATTGAAAGGGCTTCTCACCAGTGTGGATTCTCTGGTGAATTCGAAGGCCCGTGCTATGAATAAAGTCCTTTCCACACTCCTTGCACTGAAAGAGTTTAACATCAGTATGAATTCTCTGATGTTGACTGAGTTGGGACTTAAGTCTGAAAGCTAACCCACACTGCTCACACTCAAAAGATTTCTCTCCAGTATGAATGTTCTGGTGCCGAGTGAGCTGTGCTAGAAGAGTGAAGCCCTTTCCACATTCCTTGCACTGAAAGGGTCTCTCACCAGAATGAATTTTCTGATGTTGCATGAGGTTTGAGCGACGACTAAAGGCTTTCCCACACTCGTTACATTCATAGGGTTTCACACCAGCATGAATGATCCTATGTTCAACAAGGCTAGAAACACGCTTGAAGGACTTCCCACATTCCTCACATTCAAATATTTTTTGACCTGTATGAAGAATGCTTTTATGGTAATTAAGCTGGCTGGGAAGATGAAAAGTCCTTCCACACTCATCACATCCAAAAGGTCTCTCACCACTATGACACCTCTGATGTCGAATGAGATGGATATTAAGTCTGAAGACTTTCCCACATTCCTTACAATCAAAGGGTTTCTTTCCAGTATGGATACTCTGATGTTCAGTAAAATTTGAACGTCGACGAAAATATTTCCCACATTCGTTGCACTGATAGGGTTTCTCGTCAGTATGAATTCTCTGATGTTCATTAAGCTGGTACTTGCGTCTGAAGGCTGACCCACAGAGCATGCACTTGAAAGGTTTCTCACCAGTGTGAGTTTTCTGATGCTCAGAAAGGTATACCTGAAGCCGAAAAGCCTTCCCACACACATTACACGCAAAGGGTTTCTCTCCAGTATGAATACTCTGGTGTTGCACAAGGAATGAGCCACAACTGAAAATCTTCCCACATTCCTTACATTCAAAAGATTTCTCTCCACTGTGAATGTTCTGGTGTCGAGTGAGCAGTGCCAGAACAGTGAAGGCCTTCCCACACTCCTTACACTGAAAGGGTCTCTCTCCAGAATGAATTTTCTGATGCTGCATGAGGTTTGAGCGACGATTAAAGGCTTTCCCACACTCGTTACATTCAAATGGTTTCACATCAGCATGAATGATCCTATGTTGAACAAGGGTGGAGACGTGCTTGAAGGACTTCCCACATACCTTGCATTCAAAAGGTTTTATACTTGTATGAACAATTTTATGGTAATTAAGCTGGCTGGGCAGATGGAAAGCCCTTCCACACTCTTTACATTCAAAAGGTCTCTCACCACTATGCAACCTCTGATGTCGGATGAGGTGGATATTAAGTCTAAAGACTTTCCCACATTCTTTACACTCAAAGGGTTTCTTTCCAGTGTGAATACTCTCATGGTCAATCAAATTTGAATGATGACGAAAGAGTTTGCCACATTCCTTGCACTGATAGGGTTTCTCATCAGTATGGATTTTCTGATGTTCGTTAAGCTGGTACTTGCGTCTGAAGGCTGACCCACAGAGCATGCACTTGAAAGGTTTCTCATCAGTGTGAGTTTTCTGATGCTCAGAAAGGTATACCTGAAGCCGAAAAGCCTTCCCACACACATTACACTCAAAGGGTTTCTCTCCAGTATGAATACTCTGGTGTTGCACAAGGAATGAGCCACAACTGAAAATCTTCCCACACTGCTCACACTCAAAAGACTTCTCTCCAGTATGAATGTTCTGGTGTCGAGTGAGGTGTGCCAGAACAGTGAAGGCCTTCCCACACTCCTTACACTGAAAGGGTCTCTCTCCAGAATGAATTTTCTGATGCTGCATGAGGTTTGAGCGACGATTAAAGGCTTTCCCACACTCGTTACATTCAAATGGTTTCACATCAGCATGAATGATCCTATGTTCAACAAGGTGGGAGAATCGCTTGAAGGACTTCCCACATTCCTCACATTCAAATGGTTTTATACCTGTATGAATGGTTTTATGGTACTTAAGCACACTAGGAAGTTGAAAACCCTTTCCACACTCATCACATTCAAAAGGTCTCTTACCACTGTGAGACTTCTGATGTCTTGCAAAATGTTGGGGAAGTCGGAAGGCTTTCCCACATTCCTTACATTCATAGGGTTTCTCTCCAGTATGAATACTATGATGCTGAATAAGATTTGAACTACAACTAAAGTATTTCCCACATTCTTTGCACTCATATGTTTTTTCTATATTGTGAGCAAGAGTCTGGAAGGTGTTAGGAAGTAGCTTTTCCTTGTTACTAATCTTTTGATAACCATCTCCTTGATAACTTGGTAGTTCGTTGGATGTAGTATAGTTGGGGCCATTATTAAAACTAGATGCCTTGAGGCCAAATGTTTTGCTTAATTTCTTTATGCCTTGTTTGAATAAATTTCTATTATAAATATGATTTTCTTGAGATGTATTTTCAGCTTCATAACATGACTCCAAATCTGAAAGAAAAGGAGAAAGGCTATGTTATTTTCCTGTAACACAAACACATTTTCCTGGAACATAAAAGTCTATTAAATGAAAGGCCAGATTCTAAAGTAATGTCAGAGAAGATGAACAGGAGCAAACAGAGCAGCAATAATAAAGTTTATGTGAGACAATACTCTTTACAGTAAAAACAGGTCAGAAATGGGTAAGAAATGTCTGGTTAATGAGTTATAACAAACAAATATGAAATAATCTTATGTGCTTCTTTGTATACTACTTGAAATAAACACCCTTTGGTAAGGCAAAAAAAAAAAAGATAGCACACAAATACATAAGGAAACTAGCATGACTTGGAATTCTTAAAAAGGAGGTAAAACTCTGTGCTGGTGGTGGTCGCACAGTTGTAACCTCAGCAGAAAGGCTCCAGTAGCAGCAGCATGAGTTCCAGGCCAGCATTGTCTAGATAGTAAGACTCTGCCTGAGAAAAACAAAAACAAGCTAAAAAAAAAAAGCAGAAAGAAAGGGGGGGTAGAATTCATTTATAATTTTAAAGAATACTAAGAACCTCCAATCAGGAAAGTAGCTAGGCTAACTGCAGTTCTTTATCTATCCTACTGTCCTAATCCAATTCCCTAGTCTCATGATGGGGAAAGTCCTTTTGTATATATATTTCTCTTATTGGCTGATGAATAAAAGAAGCTAGCAGATAGAACATTGTTTTTGGAAGACAATCTACATGCCATCCAGATAATGAAATCATTGGAAGTTTATACTGTCCAGGAAATTCAAACACTCTGAGGAACAATGGTGAATAGATTACAAGCCATAAAAAACCTTAAAACTGATACAACAGGAGCTGAGGTACAAAGGAAGGAGAATGAAAGAGTTGTAACATCACCAGCACCTTTCAGAGTCAGAGATGACTTACCAACGGTCATAACATTATCACCTGCTTTGGTCTATCCTGTTACTATTACCGAAAAACGAGAAAATAAGTAACATCCAGAGGGATTTGTGGAATGTCATTGGCAGCCAATACGTATGAAAGATTTGAAGAGTATTAAGGAAGCAGCAGTTTCTTACGGCATGCATTCAGCATATGTGAGACGGTTAGTAGAGTCATGCATGGGTTACAACATATAGACTAACCCCCAAATGACTGGAGCCAATTAGTTTCAGCTGTCCTAGAAATTGGTCCACAGATGAAGTGGCAATCATTATGCAGAGAAGAGGCCAAAGCCCTTGAACATCACAGCAAAAAGAAAGGTTATACGACTCCCCAAGATAAAATTCTTGGTGAGGGACTTTATTTTTTTTTATTTCATTTTTTTGTGGTTGTTGTTTTTCGAGACAGGGTTGCTCTGTATTGCTTTGGAGCCTGTTCTGGAACTTGCTCTGTAGACCAGGCTGGTCTCGAACTCACAGAGCTCTTCCTGCCTCTGCCTCCCGAGTGCTGGGATTAAGGGTGTCAGCCACCAACAGCTGGCCAGTGAGGGCCTTCACGCAGATGCAGATACTCAAGCTACATATGATGAACACATCTTGTCCCTATGCTGCACAGCAGCCTTGAATGCTTGGGACAATATTCAAGAACCAGGGAAAATAACTGAGTCATATACTAAGATTATACAAGGCCCCAAAAGAACCTTTTAGTGAATTTTTGCAAAGATTGACTAAAGAGGTACAAATAGGGGTAGCAGATCCAGAAGTAGCTGAGTACTCATTGAATCTCTGGCTTTTGAAAATGTGAATTTAGAATGCAAAAAGGTGCTTGGGCCCTTAAAGGTCAGATCAGCACCACTGGATGAATGGATCCTGCACACAGCCAATATCGAGACATTTGATTATAACACTGGGGCTTGGGTAGCAGAAGCAATCTCTAAAGGTATGAAAAGACATTCAAATATCAAATGTTTAAATTGTGGTACAATAGGACATCTGAGAAGAAACTGTAGACAAGGCATTCCTGGAAATAATGCTTCTTCTAGGAATAATTCAAACAGAAAACCTCAACCTGATGGATTTATGAAGAAGATGTGGCAAAGGCTAACACTGGACCAATGAATGTAGATTGGCAATAGAGAAGCAAGGAAACCCTTAACCATCGGGAACCTCCTTGGGGGACTCTCGAAGTCCCCCATGTCGAACATGGTCCAGTCATTCCCAGTTACTGTGGAGGACAATCCTCCCAGAACAATTAGGAAATCCAGTGCCTATTGTAAAAACAAATCATATTGCTCTATTGGTAGATTAGCTTTGGAGGGTGAATCAAACACTCATGGAGGGAACAACAAAAAAAAAAACCCAAAAAACAAAAACATATATTTTGGCAGACTTCTATAAATGACCAAAGACCAAAACTAAGAGTACAGATAAATAGTTATATTCGAAGGTTTGCTGAACACTGGGGCAGACGTCACCATTACAACTCAAGAATCTTGGCATCCAAGTTGGCCTCTTCAGGAGGTAAACATTCAATTCCTAGGGATTGGAACCCTATTTCAGGTCAAACAGAGCATATAGTAAACATGCCCATCCTACCAAGAACAATCTAATTCATTGCAATTTCCATCAAAATTCCAACACAATTCTTCACAGATCTTGAAAAGGCCAATTTTCATCTTCACATGCAAACACAGACACATTTAAAAAAAATAACTAAAACAATATTGAGAAATAACAGAACTGCAGGAGGTATCACCATCCCTAATTCCAAGCTGTACTACAGAGTCATAAAGTCATAAAGCAGCATGATACTGGCAGAAAAACAGACACATTGGTCAAGGGGATCAAACTGAATTCCCAGACATAAATCTACACACCTAAGAAGCCAGAAATACACACTAGAAAAAAAGAAAGCATCTTGAACAAATGGTGTGTGAACAAGACTACAAAGAGACCCATGCTTATCACACTGGACAAAACTCAACCCCAAATGAATCAAACACCGTAACTAGATACACTGAAGCTGACAGAAGAGAAGAAAGTGTCTGTGGCCTGGAACCCATTGGCACAGGAAAAGACTTTCTGAAAAGAACACCATCAGCACAGGCATGAAGAACAAAAAGTAATAAACAAGAAATAAATGAAACTAAAAGCTTCTGAACATCAAAGGATACTGTCATTCAGACAAAGTGCAGCCTACAGAATGGGAAAAGATTTTTCCAATTTACCAATTGAGGTTTAATACCCAAAATATATAAACTCAAAAAACTAGATATCAAGAAAACAAGTAATCCAATAAATAATGGGGTCCAGGTCTAAACAGAGAATTATAAAAGAGAAAACTAAAATGGACACACTTAAATTTTAGTTCAACATCCTTAGACTTTAGGGAAATGCAAATCAAAACTACTCTGAGATTTCCTCTTACACCCATCAGAATGGCTAAGATCAATAAAACAAGTGACCACTTGAGTTGCCGAGGGTATAGAATAAGGGGAACAGGCGTCCACTGCCGGGAGGAGTGGTAAAATTGTATAGCTACTGTGGAAATCGTGTTGTGGGTCATCAGAAGGTTGGAATCAATCTACTTCAAGATCCAGCTATCTGAGGTACCATCTTACACCTACCAGAATGGCCAAGATCAAAAACTCTGATGACAGCTTATGCTGGAGAGGATGTGGAGTAAGGGGAACACTCTTCTATTTCTGTTGGGAGTGTAAACTTTTACAGTCATTGTGGAAAGCAGTATACTGGTTTCTCAGAAAATTAGAGATCAATCTACCTCAAGACCCAGTAATACCACTTTTGAGCATATGCTCAAAGGACACACACTCACATCACAAGGACATTTGCTCAGCTTTGTTCATAGCAACATTATTTGTAATAGCCAGAGCTGGAATTAACCTAGATGCTCTTCAACCGAAGAATGGATAAGGAAAATGTGGTACATTTATACAATGGAGTACTTACTACTCAGTGGAAAAAACAATGACATCTTAAATTTAAAAGCAAATGGATGGAACCATCCTGAGTGAGGTAACCCAGATCCAGAAAGATAAATGTAATATGTACTCAATCATAAGTAAATATTAGACATAAAGCAAAGACAACCAGACTACAGGCCACAACCCTAGAGTACCTAGGGAACAAAGAGGACTATAAGACGGATCCACCTAAGAAAAAGAAAAGACAAGATCTCCCGAGTAAAATGGAAGAATGAGGGTAGGGGTAGGGTGGAAAGAAGAGGGGAGGGAAGGGAAGTGGGGAAAAACATATGGTACAATTAAAAAATAAAACTTAAAAAAAGAAAAAGAAAAGCTCCAACTATACCACTTGAGCATATACCCAAAGGATGCTTCATCCAATCACAGAGACACTTGTTCAAACATGCTCACTGCTGCTCTATTTATTATAGTCAGAAATTGGAAACAACCTATATGCCCCTAACAGAAGAAAAAAAATGAAAATGAGATACATTTATACGATGGGCTATCAAAAACAGCTATCAAAAACAATGACATCATTAAATTTGAGGGCAAATGAATAATCCTGAAATAATAATCCTCAGTTGAGGTACCCCATGATATCTCTGTAAATGGAGTTCTTTAATGGTCTAATAAAAAGCTGGAGTCAGATATAGAGGGAAATGCTAAGAGATCAGACAGAAGGAGAAGCCACAGCACACCTTACCTCCTTAGCGTCTCAGTAGACAAGAGAGCGATTTCCTGTTTCTCCCTGATTATATCCTGTTTCTGCCCAGCTACCTCACTTCCTGTCTGTCTGTATAGACCTCCAGACCTCTATGGTTAGCTGGTTGCAACCTCCATTCTCTGACTCCCCAGACAAGTTTATTAGTTCAAGCAAGATACCACCACATACCTCGGAAAGACAAATGTGGTACACATTCACTTATATAAGAAAATTAGCTGAAAAAGCAATGATAACCAAGGTACAATCCATAGAGCCACAGAGGGTAGGTATAGAGTAAGGGACTAGAGGAAGACATATTTCTCGTTAGAAAAGGGAAACAGAGCAGATAGTTATGAGTGGGTGGGGACAGGAATGGGAAGATCCAGGGGGCAGAGGGAAAGGAGAGGGGGACAAGGGACATATATGGGGAGAGACAGCTAAAATTGGGTTCATATAAAGGTTAGTATGGAAACCTAATACAGTGGAAGCTTTCCAAATAGATGTATATGTACACACACACACACAATATATATATATATAAGTTTCCAGTCCCAGAGTTAGATTACATCTAATTTAGTTGTGGGCCAAAGGGGAACCTCGGGAACCCCCAAACAACCCAGTCTGTTGCCAAGACAAGAACTTTGCTGTCCACAAACTCAGAGCAAGGCCACATTGCTGAAGACAAGGCGTACAACTCTTTGGCCATGAAGGCATTAAGCTGAAGCCTACTTAGAGCCTTCATCTCTATGCTTCAGAGCCTTGGGTACATGAAGGAACTCTGCAAATAAAAAAAAACGGAAACATAAACACCAAGCCAGACACAAAACCTTGGCTCCACAATGGTGTCCGGCCTGCAAAAAATGCTACATCAATGGTGGCACAAACTAATCAATGTATAACTTGGCTTAAGTCCCCTTCAACAAGATACAGCCCATACCTGACGTTGACTGAGTGGACAAGAACCTGGGACTAGAGATCTCAGGAACCTGGAATAGAAGCAAATACTCCTGTTTTACTCAAACAAAGGGCCTTGCTCAGCCATCATCAGAGAAGCTTGCTCCTACAGCAGCTGGGAACAAATCCAGAGACACAGCCAGATGCTATGCAGAGAATGAGAGCTCTTGGGACACTCAGTCCTAAAGGGATGTTTCCATCAAATCCCTCCCATCATGACTCAGGGAACCCCGTGGAAGAGAAGGTGGGGAGAAACAGTGTAGAAGCCAGAGAGAAGGAAAACACCAAGAGAACAAGGGCGCTAAATCAACATGATCAAAGCTCTATGATATCACAGGGCCTGAGACAGCAATGCCCAGGGCTGGCACCGCCAACCAGGTCCTCTATGCACTCACTGATATGGCCTCCAGTTTAGTGTTTGTATGGGATTCATGAGTGTGCAAACGAGTCGGTTTCCATCCCTTACGCCTTCTCTTGGGCTCTTTTCCTTGTGTTTATTTTGTCCAATTCCAATGTCCCAGCGGATTTTATTTTATTTAAAGATTTACTAAGTGGGCATACCTAGTCCCAGGGGTGAAAATCGATCAAGAAAAACAATGAGCCAAGCGTTGGTGGCACACGCCTTTAATCCCAGCACTTGGGAGGCAGAGGCAGGCAGATCTCTGTGAATTCGAGACCAGCCTGATCTACAGAGCGAGTGCCAGGACAGGCGCTAAAGCTACACAGAGAAACCCTGTCTCAAACCCCCCCCCCCCCAAAAAAAAGAAAGAAACAAACAAAGAAAGAAAAATAATGGTCTAGACCCAGTGCCTGAGGCCATTAAGGGCAAGAGTTGAGTTAAGAAGTATAGAATGATGCTGACGCTGAGTGGCTTACTGGATAAATGACAAGATCTGGTATGCCCCACGGTGGCACAGCTGTATCTAAGATGGGCAGGGTAAAAGTCATAAAGCCGGCACAGCTGCTTGACAAAGATCCAGCAAAGCCGAGCCACACGACGGTCATTGTGCCACTTTTGGTTTTGATCTCTGATGGCTGCATGCTTGGGAGGCACGAGGGGGGGAGGCAGCTTTTAATATCATACAACTTAGCGATGGTGGGTTGACGGGAAATTTCTTAAGACTCATTTACGCCTTCTCCTAGGAGTACTGCTTCTAAGCTTCCCCTGAACACACCACTCTCCCACTTTCAGGGAGATATCCTTATCAACTTGAAGGTCTTTCTTTCCGCCTTGGAGATTGTGCTGCACATAGGAAGCCAGAGGTCTCTTTATGAGGCTATGAGACATTCTTAAAAGATATGCTCCTACACTTACTCAATCAGCAACAAGATAGTCAAAAACAAATAAATAAATAAACTTAAAGGGCCAAAAGATTTGGCAACAGATCAGATTACAAGCCTCCACACACACTCGGGCGATTGTGTGGCATGTATAGCAAAAAAGGTAGATTAGCTGCAGTGACCTCTGCCCTACACAGGGACATCCACTGATGGGTTAAGAATGATGTCGAGGGCTGGAGAGATGGCTCAGAGGTTAAGAGCACCGAGTGCTCCTCCAGAGGTCCTGAGTTCAATTCCCAGCAACCACATGGTGGCTCGCAACCATCCGTTAAGAGATCTAGCGCCCTCTTCTGGTGTGCAGATATACATGGAAGCAGAATGTTGTATACATAATAAATAAATAAAAATAAAAAAAAAGAATAATGTAGAAAGATGATAAAAGAGGGGGGTGTCAGGACCTCCCTTTCTTAGAAAATTAGCTCATGCCACATGAGCAAGGAACAGAAAAATACCAGGATTAGACATATAAACAAATTCTAAAAGATATAAAATGTAAACATTGTATTATGCCAGAAACTGAATAATAACTATAGCGGCTCTGGCCTGAGGAATTTTCTTTGAGCACTCTGACAATAATATACTGCTTGGGACATGGCCATCTGCCTGGGCTGGCTTGGAGACTTTTTCCTGCCTAGTGTCCTTGGAGCCACAAGAGCTACCAGCTGAGAAAAGGCTGTCATATATATACCTCTAGATTCTTAAAACTTGGGATACGGGGTTGATGAGAAAAATGGCTATAAAAGGTAACTCTGTTTATCAAGGATGACTAAACGTGAGGGGAAATGATTACAGAAGATAACCGTGTTCTGTCACAGTTCGTCAATGATAAATAAACTTACGACCCCAGATGCGCAGAGTAAACGTTAAACATTATGTCCAGAAATGGTGTGATCTACATTTCAGAACACCTGGACCTCTCCCAGTTTCCTGACTGCTATATAAATAAAGAAGCACCCCGATTGTCACTCGGTCACACTGCATTCTCCTCATCGCCATGGCCTGGTTCACTCCTTCCCTCACCTATCCCTTACCTCCTCTCTGGACCCTGTCAACAGCCAGCGCCTGTTGAGCAGTTAGACCGGCTGGATCCCCCTCTCCATATACAGGAACATATACTGAAGGAATCAGAATGGTACAGTCTCATGGAAAAAGTGTAACAATCAAGACCTTCCCCTTTGAGAGCTTGTAAGGGGAATAGGCCCATATTATAAGACTAAGGCACAAAGGAACGCAATTCAGAGAGAGCTCAATGCTTGTTGGGATACATGGTAGAGACACTGTGTCACGGCCGTTGAAGACTGCAAATTGCTCTTATGGGTTTCTTTCTCAGAACTCACATCTGACACCTCCTGACCACAGAGGCTGAGTGGGAGGAAGTGTAGGCGGGCACCTGGCATGGCTACTGAACCTTAAGAGGACAGGAGGCAATTAGATTCTTGCTAAACTTACTGCTTTTTGCTTAAGAAAAATGCTATAATGATGTGGATAGCCACTTTCACCCCAGAATTAAGTCTGCTTTCAATACTGCTTGTGGTTAAACTGCAATGCAATTATAGAGTATGTAAGGTGTAGCCTCTTTTCAATAAACAGGAGCCAACCTGATTCACCCGATGCCAGTCTCCTTTCTCACTGGCTCTACACCTCCTCTTTGGAACCTGAACCCAACTGGAGCTGCATATCAGCAACAGCCCCCGAACCCAAAGAGATGGAGTGCTCACATGGTATTTCATTGGCTTGTATACCTATTCCTTTTGAGTCAGGGTCTCTCATTTGCCTGGAGCTTGACAGGTAACCTAGGCTGACTTGCCGGCAAGCTCAGGTGATCGTCTTTTCCCATCACGCCTTGTTTAGAGTGATTATGAAGACACACAATTAAAATTATGAGCCTCACTGTGCTGCTGTTTGTACGGGTGTTCAAATCGTCTTATCAGGAGGTTAAGAGCACTAACTGCTCTTCCAGAGGACCTGAGTTGAGTCTCAGTAGCCACCTGTAACTCCAGCCCCAGGGGATGTGACACTCTCTTACGGCCTCTTAGGGTACCTGCACACATGTGCACACACACAACCAATAATGAAATACATTTGAAATGACAGAAAGAGGGTAACTGCTCCAGTAAGAGGGAGGAAGATGAGAACAAGTTGCTGACTCATGAACTCGAAGCCCCTGTGACACCTTTTGCTATGACCGTGACGTCCCTCCCAGGTCTCAGCCGTGTTCTTCCACAGGTCTCGGCACTCTGAAGGAAATGTGTCAACCCAGTGTCAGGCATGAGGTGACTCTCTGACCACATGCTGTGTCCGGCCATGCTGGAGCCCCGCCTTCCTCTTACTCACCTGGGCTGGGTCTGTCTGTTTCTTCCTTCACCACCATCCAGGGCTCTCTCTCCTGCTCTAATGAGGTGATCAGATCAGGTTTGGAAATGGAGCTTCCCACTTAAAAGAAAGAAAAAAAGGGACACATGTGGAGACTTTTTTTTTTTTTTTTTTTTTTTTTTTTTTTTTGTTTTTTTCCCCTTTTACTTTTTATCCCAGGATGTCCTGGAACTCAGTATGTCCTGGAACTTACCTGATTTGCTTATCTCTGCCTCCCCAATGCAGGGATTAAAGGTGTGTGCCACCATGAGCTGCCTGAGCAGATTTTTAAAGATACAGACATTATTTATTATAAAGGTCTATACCACTTGGCATGGTGGATCATGCCTGGAAGCCCACAGCTGGGGGAATGAGCCAGCCAGTCTGTGCTACACAGCAAGACCCAGCTTGGTAAGACAGATTTAAAAACAGAAGTCCAAATAATGCTGAGGAGACTTCAGAGAAAAAGGAAAAGAAACTGGATGAGAAGCCAGGTGCTTCAGAAAAGGGTTCCAATCTCATGTAAACACAGATCAGGGCTTGTCACTCAAGAGGAAAAATACACACAGTGGGTGAGAACATGAACCCTTAGGCTACACTGTCTAGTGTAAAGCCCATCTCTGCAGTTCACTAGCAAGGCCACTTATTTAGGCAAGTCCTGTAAGATTCTACGTGCAATGTTCCCATCTGAAACCCGGGCATGGTGGTACATACTTGAAATCACAACTCTTGTATCTAACACTCTCTTATGGCCTCTTTGGGTACCTGCACACATGTGCACACACACAACCAATAATAAAATACATTTAAAAATGACAGAAAGAGGGTAACTGCTCCAGTAAGAGGGAGGAAGATGAGAACAAGTTGCTGACTCATGAACTCGAAGCCCCTGTGACAGCTTTTGCTATGACCGTGACGTCCCTCCCAGGTCTCAGCCGTGTTCTTCAACAGGTCTTGGCACTCTGAAGGAAATGTGTCAACCCAGTGTCAGGCATGAGGTGACTCTCTGACCACATGCTGTGTCTGCCCATGCTGGAGCCACGCCTTCCTCCTACTCACCTGGGCTGGGCCTGTCTGTTTCTTCCTTCACCACCATCCAGGGCTCTCTCTCCTCCTCTAATAAGGTGATCAGATCAGGTTTGGAAATGGAGCTTCCCACTTAAAAAAAGAAAGAAATGACACTTGTAGAGGGTTTTTTTTTTTTTCTCTCTTTTTTTTTTTTTTTTTTTAAGACTTGGTGCCTCTAGTTATTCCTGGATGTCCTGGAACTTGATATGTAAAACAGGCTGGCTTTGAACTTACTTGATCTGCCTGCCTCTGTCTGCCCTCTGCCTCCCAAATGCTGGCATTAAAGGTGGAGCCACCATGAGCTGCCTGTGCAGATCTCTAAAAATACAGACCTATTTATTATGAAGGTCTATACAGCTTGGCATGGTGGATCATGCTGGTAAGACCAAGAGCTGGGGGAATGAGCCAGGCCAGTCTTCCCTGCATGGCAAGACCCCTTGGAAAACTGGATAAAAAACAGATTAAAGAGCCCAAATAATGTTGAGGAAAGACTTCAAAGAAGAGGGAGGAACAACCTGGATGAGAATCCAGCTGTTTCAGAAAAGGGTTTTAATCTTATTTAAACACAGATAGGGGCTTGTCACATAAGGGAAATGTATACATAGTGGTGAGAACAAGAACGCAGAGGCTGCACTGTCTAGTGTAAACCCCACCTCTGCAGCTCAATAATAAGGACATTTATTTAGGCAAGTCCCATTCGATTCTATGTGCAATGTTCCCATCTGAAACCCGGGCATGGTGGCACGCACGTGGAATCACAACACTTGAGGAATGGAAGCGAGAGATGAGTTGCTCAAGGTCGGCCTTAGTTTCACAGCAAGTCCAAAGCCAGCCTGACCTACGTGAGACCTGATCTCACCTCAAAAGTAATAATGACAACAATTCAGATTGCGTTGATGGTATCGACTGGATATGGACACTACTAAGATTAAAGACTACTGGAATACTGTCTAACCTATGGTAACACGAGATTATTATTTATTTCATTTCATTTATTGATGTAGTAATGCTGGAGAGGGAACCAGAACCTTGAGCGTGCTGGGCAAATGCTCTACCTCTGAGTTACATCCCCCGGCCATGAAAACGGTCATCATTATTGTTAACTTATACCTCTTCCTGTCACATTTACACCTCATTCTGACAATCGGCACAATGAAAAAGGCAAACATCACACCCTAAAACTAAAGCCGGTGAAGGAAGTGTTCATACAAGGAGACAGAATGTGTCCGCTTCTCTTTTGAATCGATTCAACTGATTCATTACCAAGTAAATCTGTTGTGTATGTGTAGGTGTAGAGCAGTGTGAGGTGTCATCTTTGATGGCTCCCCACTTTGGTTTTTGTGACAGGGTGTCTCTCTGAACTCAGAGCTCACTGAGAGGATCTCCAAGGTGTGGACAAAAGGCAGGTGCTTCATGAAGCTCCTGTTTTCAACAGAAGAAACCTCCCGTTATGAATTCTATTGACTCAAGCCTACTTTCTTTTATGCACGTGTGTCTGTACGCATGCACATCTGAGTACCACAGGCACGCAAGATGATCATGGAGGCAGGAAGAGAGCATCAGTCCCCTGGACCCGGACTTACAGGAGATGGTTGGAGGTCACATTATGGAGCTGGGGATGGCACCTGGTGCTCTGCAAGAGAAGTCAGTTCCCTTAACAAACAAGCGATCTCACTAGCCACTAATTCTATTTAGTGAGTTATCTCCTTACTTATTTCATTTTCTTTCTTTCTCTCTTTCTTTTCTTTTGTTTGAAATAGGGCTTGTAGACAAGGCTACCCTGGCACTCACTATGTATCTGAGTTCATAGCATGTGTGACTAGAGGCACCAAGTTCATGCTTGAGTTCACAGCAATCATCCTGCCTCAGCCTTCCGAGTGAGGAATGACAGGCATGAGCCACCAAGTCCGGCTTCAGCTACCACAGGAAAGATGGCCCTGTCTGTTCATTCAGAGTGAGGAAAGCCAACAGTGTAGAGGACACGTCCCCCACTCCTGGGGACAGATGGCCTTACCCACTGTGACCAGGTTGCTGTAGGTCTCCAACATCAGGTCCCTGTAGAAGGCCCTCTGAGCAGAATCCAGGCAGGCCCATTCCTCCTCAGAGAAGTCAACAGCCACATCCCCAAATGTCACTGCACCCTGAAACCACAGACACAGCAGAGTGAAATGGGGAAGGGTTCAAGATGGACAGACAGAAGGGAGAGGACTCCAGAGTGGGAAAGGAGCCATGGAAATGCTCACGGCGCCTGACTGCACGAGCTCCCCCAGGAAAGGACGATGGTCCCCACCCTACACATCCAAAAATGTGCATTTCCTTTCCATCCTCATCCTTCAAGTTAGCCCCACAAGAGAACTGTCACCCGGGTTCCGTGTAAAATACCCAAGAAATAATGTGAGTTTTTGAGTTTATTATGGTCTCAGATGTTATCATAAACATTTTTTGTCATTAATAAACTATGTAGTGCCCATAAAATGTAGGAGTCCATATTACTGTCATATTAGGTTTAAGAGGTTTTGCCCTAAAAAAAAAAAAACTTTCAAGGTGGTCAGTGTGTCTCAGGTCTTTCTAAACTCTGGAGACTGCCGTCCCCTCCAATCACAGCCTGGATGTCCTGTCCCTCTCATCACTGAACTCTCTCTTAAAGCCCCTCAGGCAGGTCATCTCATCACACACATGCACCCAGGCCGTTCACTCTCAAACCCCGTGTCACCAGCCTGAAAACACCAAAGATGTCAATCAGGATTCAAAGGACACCATGGCCTCAACATTCTGAAACCCCCAAAGGCCCTGCTTCCCTGTGGGACTGTGGCCTCCTCTGCAAGGACAGCTCCCCCTGACCACAGACCAAGCAGAGAGCAGATGCATCCAGAGAAAACTCCAGAAGCAGCAGGAGAGAGGCACAGACAGCAAGTGCTCTGACCTTCAACCCTCACTGTGACGGACGGGGCAGCCTGGGCTGGAGGACTTGGGGTCCTGGGGAAGCTTCACAAGAGAAAGACAGCAAAGAGGCACCTAACTGAAAGTCACCCCATGGAAAGAGAGAGAGTGTAACTTACACAGGCCGTGTCTTGAGAACCAGAGCTGGCCATTCTTCTTCAGGATCCTCCCCTGGGGACAAAAAGAAAGCCTTTCATTGGATGTCACTTGATGTTCCCAGACTGACTGGGGTCTGTGTGACGTCACTGACTACTTTGTTTCTCCAGCATCCGCTCTCACGCACTCCTCTCCATGGCTCACAGCCTCCCACACACAAATAGAGGCAGACAGGAGTCCACAGAAAGCCGATCCTGTCCTAACCCCAGACAACCCACTGACAAGGGCTCAATGAGGACATGCAGAGCACAAGCATGTCTGCCTTGAAGTTCCTGCAGAAGACGCCAGCAGAAGGGATCCCATCTTCCTTCCTGAGATGCAGCTAGGCCTAGACTGTAAGCAGAGCTTCCTACTGGAACCCCACCCTCAGGGATGTCAGGGTTACAGCCACTGAACTGAAAACTCAGGGCTGAGTGAGGCCCAGGGCTGGAGGGTCAGGTTGCAGCTGGCAATTCTAAACACCAACATGGTGATGCCCAGCCATCTCTAGCTCCAATTTCAGAGGATTTGACACGCTCGTCTATCCTCCTCAGGCACCAGGAATGCAAACGGTGTGCATACAGACAAAACACTCATAAAAAAAATGAAGTAGGTTTTTGTTTGTTTGTTTGTTTTTTAAGTATCCATTATCAGCTCATTTGCCAGTGGGCCTTGGTTGGCTGCTTGAACTTAAAGGGAGAATCATTAGAAAGTAGACTAGGAAACCCCAGAGCGGCATCAGAGTGAGACCCGAGCTACCTGCTTGGGAGCAGTATCAGAGGGGGGTCTGAACCTCAGGCCCGGGGGAGCAGTGTCAGAGGGAGGCCGAAGCCACTCGCCCAGGAACGGGAGCAACTGCCGGGAGCGACAACAGCAGCAGCTTCCAGAACCTATCTCAAGAAGTTCCTCTGGCAAAGAGCACCTGTGCCCAGCCAACATCCATGGCCATTGCTTGGTACTGAGATAACCCGCTACTCCAGCAACCACTGGAACCTCAGTGCCATCTATAGCCAGAGGGGCAACACCAGAGCCATGGCCCCAACTCCAATGGGAAGAGCGTCCACCTAAGCTGTACCCCACCTGCACCTCAAGGAGTGACTACCTGAGCCTTGGACCCACTTCCATCTGGAGCGATCGCCCGAGGCTCTCCTCTGCTTGCACCTGAACGGAGCCACAGCCCCCAACTATACTAATTGGAGAAAGAGAGGCCCCCCCTGAAGCACCAGCTCCATCTACACTGGTTAGAGGAAGAGATGCGTAGACAAACACCCACGATCTCCATGCTGAACCTGAAAATGTTACCTCACAGGAACAAGTGACATGGTGGGTGGTGGGGGTGACAGTCAGTGGCTGGCACTGGGTCAGCAGCACGGTGGTTGAGAGTGGGGGATGTGGACCCGAAGGGACTTGGGAAGACGCTGATCTAGGGCTACAAAATTCCAGCCACACAACACCACTTCCAGATACATCAATCAACACGGTGACGAAGACTAATGGCTTTGAAAAGATTGGGGAGATACTGAGTGCACGCGCTACAAAAATGTGACCCCCGCCATGGAATCCACCAAGGCTCCTCACAGACCTTGAAAAACAATACTCAACTTTATATGGAAAAACAAAAAAATCCATGATAGCCAAAACAACGCTATACAATGAAGGATCATCTGGGGGCATCGCCATCTCTGACTTCAAGCTCTACTATAGAGCTATAGTAATGAAAACAGCTTGGTATTGGCACAAAAAACAGACAGGTAGAAGGAATCAAATCAAAGACCCTGACACAAATCCACACACCTATGAACACTTTTTGACAAATAAGCTAAAAATATAAAATGGGAAAAAGAAAGCATCTTCAACAAATGGTACTGGCATAACTGGATGTCAACATGTAGAAGAAAGCAAATAAATCCATATCTATCTCCATACACAAAACTCAAGTCCAAATGGATCAAAGACCTCAATATAAATCCATCCTCACTGAAACTCACACAAGAGAACGTGGGAAATAGCCTCAA